GACCGTTTGGCAATCTCTGGAGCACAGAAGTCTCTGGAGCAAGGATGAGTCCAGTGCAAGGTGCCACAAAGGACACCCCTGCAATGAAAAAACATAGGTTCAAGAATGGGATCGAAATCAAAGATCTTTCCCGTCAGAATAACACATCAAATCACATTAGATTTGCAGCCGTGTTCCGTGTTGGCAAGAATGGCCTGAACGCCAGGCATGCGCCTCAAAAAAGATAACCATGGCTCCTTCATCACTAATAGGCAGGGGAGGCAGGGGAATCGCAAGACATCAAGAAAATGGTCACATTCATCACTGGCAAGCCAACCAAGCGAGAACGTGACCTTCATCCTGCCAGAATAAAAACACACACACCTGACTCCAGCGGCTTCAAGGACTCTGGCCAAGTCTGACGAAGTGCTGGTGCTTGGGACACTAAGCAGCGGAACTCTGGTGGCACTAAGCAGCAAGCGGAAATGGCGCATCACCAGGCGAAGTAGCAAAGGCTCGACCATGTAGGCAGGCCACTCCTGCAAGGTCACTTCACCATGAAGCACCAGCCACGACTCTGGAGTTGGAAGCAACTCCGTGAGCTGAAGTCAATCATGTCCGAACAGGATCGAAGGTGAAAGACCACGGCTTGCTCACCAGCATGCAACTGCTGAACACTTGAGGTGGATCCAACAGTGCGTTCACATGAACTGATTGTCTTCATTTCATCTGGCAAGATCCCACACACTCTGCCTTGAGCCACTCCGCCAGAGCAGGGGCCTCGCAGGTTGCAAAAATCACAAGCATGTTCGCATCCTGAACTGTTCTGGCAAAAGTCTTCATCTGTCGGAGACAGGGATCTTGCTCAGACTGGAACATGTGAGCTTCATCCAAAATGAACTCAGCAGGTGAAGTATACTGAGTCCATGACTGCAGCCCCTTCTCTACTGATTCCATGTACAGAGCAAAATGTGTAAGGTCTTGTTCTTCGGCTTCACCCACTCACCTTGATCGTTCATTTCCATGGCAAGTTGCGATCCTGACTCTCTCATGATGTGAAGACGTGGAGCGTGCGTCTTGGGCATCCAAGCCTCAGCTGCCCAAGCACAACCCCTCTGGAGCCTCCGTCCGATCTGTTTGCATCCACGTCTTAGCTGCCCAAGGACAACCCCTCTCTTCAAGTTGGTGACGATGAGTGGGAGAACTGTTGACTTGCCACTTCCTGTTGGTGCTTGGAAGGAGACACGGTGATCATCAAGTGTCCTGAGGAGTTGTGGAACAGTTGGGGCTCCAGGCTGGGCTCCAGGTTTTGACCCATCCACATTTCTGGTTTTGAACCCAAACATGCAAAGGAATTTGCCTGTACACGGCAGCCAGAAACACGCAAGCCGCAGAAAGCGGATTACTTTTCCTGCGACTTCGACGATGGAGGGACTTCGATGTCGATGGAGGGACCGCTGGGTGTGTAGCTTCAATAGGAAGACCTCCCAGGCAGGGCCCCCCTGGTTTCGATTCGGTTCGAGTCTGGAAACCCATATGTGGCTGTTCTGGACATGGACCAAAACCCCATTGGTCGGAGAAGTCATCCCTATCAAAATCATATACCCTGGGACTCCACCATTGTTTTAAAGGATTTTAATGGTCTTTACCGCTGCAACCACTCAACCAACTCAGCCATTCTACTAATGGTCCTTGAAGGCTAGTGGACTGTGAAACACATAACACGTTCGCTTCTCACTAGTTGGGAGGATGTCACTCCTCCCGTGCTTTTCAGGCAGCCCGGTCCACACACCGCATGGATCCTCGATTCCGCTTCGCACCCCCGAACCTCCTCGGCCGATCATGGCGAGCGGCGTCCAGTGCGTCGAGTCGAGCGCGATGAATGGCACTGGAGGGGGGGGGTGACTGCCCTGGACGACCTTGACATGGTTCATCATGGTTCCACCGCTGGACGGGCTACTCTAGGGGCTCCTGGCCACCAACCTCCGTGAAACGAAGGTGCTTGGAGTGGGTGTGTTTTTTGGGGGGGTCTAACCGGATATATGATATATGGTTGGAACCCTAATACGGATTATGGATTTTATGAAAGGTCTCATCTCGGCACACGAGCATCGAGCATGGGCAGGCTGAGTCTCGTGAATCTCACCACGAAATGATCTACATGATCTACACCAGGACCCCCAGTCGGGGTGGTCAATGGACACCCCGAATGACCCCTCTTCGGGGCTATTCATGGACACTCCTTGACCCCCTAAGGTGCTGACATGAGTTGGTCGTCGTAGTTGCAAGGAAGTCCGGTCGTTTCTTGCAGTCACCTTGCTTCTCGGATGTCTTCGGTAACCAGTTTCATGGAGTCTCTTTTGAGGACCTATCCGATCTATCCTCAAGGGATTGTAGATCCATTGTAGCCTTCTCATTGAATGCAGCTGGAACCGTTGCTCAAGTTTCAGTCTCCAGGATGTGTGGCTATGTTATGCAATTGACTGGATTTCGTCGTGGCATGGTTGGATGCTCACACACATTTAGCTTGATGCAGCGATTGCAAGGCTGAGAGCCTTAAGGAGGGGCGTTGCCGAGCAATGATCCAAGGCTGAACCGATGTGATCTGCTCCATGAATTCAGATCAGCATCCTGATCTATCTAGAATCTATACTTTGTAAAATCTAAACACTCCATACAAGCTATGGCCTACACTCACCACCAATACCACCAAATGTTGGCAATATTTACACACGTGGAGCGTCCGGGTAAGTAGATTGCAAACGCGGTCAGGTCCGAAAGAAGCGACGGTTCGCTGAAGTGGCCAGTTTCACTCTGGCGGAAACTGAGTGGTAGAACATGGTATACAACATGAATACCTTTCTCACAATATAGAACAACTTACAAACCACCCCCAACAAAACTGAACGACATACTCATCATTACTCATCCAAGGGGCTGTCCATGTTGCACCAACAGGGGAGACGCCCACCAACGTCTGTGGAGAACATCCAGTCTCATGCACCGTCGCTACGAGCGATTGGAATCGGGAAGGTGCAGAACGTCTGAGTAGACCCAAAGATGCCAAACCTCCAAGTGACTACACTCCCCAAAACCAACATAGACCCTAGCAATGGCCCCCTGGGTCCGAGTGTTTGCCTCTACCAACCAGTGGTTTTCAGGGTCTATGTTAGTCTTCGAGGAGGTAACATGGAAGTGGAACATGGTCCATGGGCAAATGAGTTTCATCTACGAACACCATATGATGTGTTCGTCGGAGTATACTACAAAGAATAACAATTCAGGATCGGCAGGGTGCATTCTCACGGACCGTGATGCACCGTGGATCCCTCTTTCCACTGATCGTTGAGAGCAGTGACGAAAAGCCGGCCTTTGGTCCTGATCCGATCTCTCCTTCAGCTTCTTTTTCTTCCGCATCCTTCCTTTCACTGGAAGACAAGCGATCCTTCGATCTCTCCAGCGCGATGCTCGCGCCGCGCGCGCGCGCCGCGCGCCTCGCGCGGGGGGGCCCTGCGCCTGCGTTAGACGTTATGTACATCCGTGGCCCGGCGACGCCGCGTGGCGTCCCTCACACTGGCACACTGGTAGTCCGTTCCCAGGCCTCCTGGTGGGTGGATCTGATCTGGGGATGTGGTTTCAGAGCTTCCGATGGCACTGGTGCCGTTCGAGGTCCTTTCAAGCAGCAACCCTTTGAGGGCATGGTGGGGATGGTGACCCCTCTGATGAACATCTCATGTGTTCATCCGACCCGGGGACAAACAGTGGACAGGGAAAGCGGGGAGGGGGGTCATGACACTCGGATGAGGCCACTGGGAAGACCTTGTTTCCTCGAGAAAAAGATCAAATAACGCAAATAACGTCAATTAGTAGGCCATAGGTGGATTGAAATCCACTTCCAGGTCGGAGTCAGAGGTTTCCTTTTTGGTGCATCAACATGATGGGAAGATACTTTTGTTTTTGCCTTAACCTCCTGATCCCTGCGGATTCTCCCAATCCGTCAAGACGGCGGTCGCTCTGCCAGTTGAGATGCATGCTTGGGGTATGCTCTGCATATGCTCTGAATGCAGTACCTGATATGCTTTCAGAGCACCCTTGGTTCCAAACTCGGCTGCGCCTGTCCTGGCTGATCCGCTTCATCATCGCCTCGTTTGGGTCAGGAAGATGGAGGAAGGGCGGCTCCAGTTTTCATGTCGGTTCATTTCAAGCCAGCATTCAATTCAAACATGTATTCTTCTTTGCCCTTTGTTGTTTTTTGGGGAGCTGTTCAACTCAGTCTGTTCTTTTGAGCGTTTCTGGTACAGTTGATCTACTTTTGGTGGATTCACTCGTCAAGTGGGCCTTAAAAGAATCCCAATGACCGACTCACGAATTTTGCACCATCCCAAGTTAGGTGGTTCAAATGGCCCACATTCAGAAGACAGGTTCCAAAAACTCATCTCTTGGGTTTGTGCCATCTACTCTGAAGCTATACTGGTTTTCTTGGACACACCGATCAGCCGCGAGCAGTCCACGCAGAGCTTTGACCGGTCGGCCCGGTCGGTCCTTACTCCACGGTAGGACTCGTTACTGCCAGTTGCGAAGAAAATCTCCCAGTATGGCTGGTGCAACTGAGGCTGACTGAGTGAAGCATGAAGTTGTAAAACCGTCGCAACTCAATCATGGTCTGCTCAGTAGATGGAGTGTTGATTGTTAAAGGACAGCGTCTTGCGGCCTTTCTAGGTATTCCAATCAACACATAACATATACTTGTTTCCTTGGTGTTCAAAAAGATCTGATGTTGAATGTTCCCCCCTTTGAAACACCTGAAACCAAGCAAAATCTTCAACTGAAAGCATCCCCTCCTTGTAGCCGCAGCCGCATCGACCAACCTCATTGACCATGTAGCGTTTCTGAACTTGGATTTGCTTAAGGAATGGCTAACACACTCCCCACCCAGACGCTCATGGACCCTCAAAATCCCTCGCTCCAATGATGCGAAGGGGCAGAAGGGGCGATTGACCCAGCTTGGGGAAAAGAACACATCAGCCGATCTCCAAGACACCAATGATGTATACTTTCTGGCCCAATCTGATGCTTTCTGGTTCGGTGAACCAACTAGACCAACCACCGCCACCCGCGCCACCCGCCCCACGACCACGCGAGACTGAGACTGGATCGTTGAAAGCGTTGGAAACCGATGCCTTGAGCTGCTTCATGGGACCACATTCATAGAAGTCCGTGATTCCGTTCTTCAACATCTCCTGGCGTGATCTTCGCTAAGCATCCGAGTTTCTGCGTTTCTTTTTGGTGTGATCCCAAAGATAGTCATTCCACTAAGTTGATAGATCGACTATGGCGGAATCCAACATAACATTGATTGAAAGGGCGTATAGAATCAGCTTCTCTCTGCTTCAGGAAAAGATCCGCACCCAGGATCAAGTCACACACATGCGCCAAAGACCACGCACCCACGCGAACGCGGTTCCGCGGTTCCGCGAACGAGCCGCGCCCCCCGGCGCGCGCGGTAAGCGCAGTGGAAGGACTCGGCCTGGATGCTGGCCTGCCAAAGGACTGGGCTTGCCACCTGGACACGAAAACAACGGGTCGGATCGAGGGATTGGAAGGTCCGGGACGTGAAACCGAGGGCGACAGCAGGAAGGTGTGGGATTCCACTGAAACCAAGGCGTCGAGTAAGTCCTGGCCCACCATTGATTCAATATTTGCGGTCATCCCGAACAACCAGCTGTTTTACTATGGATTGTACACTACAAAAACAGGTCAACCATTTCTTTTATAGTGAAAGTCTAGGGAAAGATTGAATTGGGAATTCACTCCAGTGTTTGCAAGTCACTACACTGTTCCTAAAGGGGCCCATCGTATCCCATTGTCCACGTGAGCGAGTCTCGTACAAAGAATGCAAGTAACATCAACCAGGACCCTCCTGGCCAGGCTGTTGGGAGACCCTAACAGGTGGGGTTCACCTGGGCACCTCTCACCAGGAAACACCTGGACCTGTTCGGGTCCGGGAAGGTCATCACATGGGTCCAGTCCGGTCTCCGTGGTTTTCGTGCAAGACGGTCGCTGATACACTGTGTTGACGACGCTGTTTGGCGCCACCAGCCATGAACCCGTTTCATCGTGCAGGTCTTCATGGGTCCACTGCAGTTGGACACCATGTTATTGTGCCAAACTGTCAACTCGTTGGACTGTCATTGTCGTCGTTGGAAGGCAGGGGCTGTTTAGTTTCATGACGCCTGTGCTTTTTCAGGCAGATGTTCCATGCAGTTCAACTACTCAATCTGTTGGGCCTGTCAACAAAAAAATGATGTCCACGAGATGGCATGTGTCTCTCCCAAGCTCCCCAGTGGTAAGCAATTCAATACTACCGAAACATGCACTCACAGCCACCATTGCTCTCTCGCTCACTGCCCACCCCCGTGGTTGCTCCGTCTTCCCGAACGTGCGCGTCTTTGCTTGGCGCGAGTTGGCAAGAACGCGCCGCGCCTGCGCTGCCAGGTCATAGTTGATCTCGCGGGGGTCAGTGCCAGCCTTTTGAGGCCCTCCACGGACGTTGGTATAGACCTCGACGCGATCGTCGAACGCGAACGCGCCGAACGCGGAGAACTCTGCTGTCCGCTGAGGGCGCATTCGCCGGCACGCCGCCCTGTCCGAGCAGCTGGCGGTCGCACCGCGGTCGCACCAGAGCGACGTGGTGGTCGACGTTTTGGCCAGTCTGGTCGACTGAGTTCGGGCCGAGGTTGACTCTGCTCTCATAGTTTAAGATGAATCCTGACTCTGTGTCTCTTTTGAAGATCGGTCCAAGTGCTGCAGAACCCAATTCGAAGAAAAACCAGCTGCTTCACCTTCCAGTGCTGGTTTCTTACACAGCTATGTTCAAAGGCCAAATCATGTTCAGCTCCTTTCAGCTTCTGCGTGAACCGCACTAAATGGCCCCACTCTTTGAGCCACTTGAGTCAAGTGAAGCTTCGATGAACCAGGCTTTCCGTCGCTGAAAAAGAGTTCGTCTTTGGAACCACTGGTTATACCTATAGCCTCTATAGTGGTCCCCAAATAGATAGAAACCGCTTCCAAGACATTTTTGGTGGGGATCCATGTCTTTTCTATCTATTTGGGGGTCTATTTATATATGGTATCCAATGGGTTCACTTCCATGGGTTTTCTGGAACTCATGTCCCACCTCCCTCCACGGTCCAAATCTGGGCCCTGCTGCGTCGACACGGGGGAAGTTCATGTCCGTGACCCTCACGCGGAGCGCCTTCAAGAGCTTGCCACCTCAACAGGCGTCTTCGTTTTTGAGGGGACTTTGGGCTGCTTACTTCGGCGAGGAAGCCACTAGGTCGGCAGCCCAAGGTCGGCAAAAAATGTGGTATAGACATGGAGTTTCTGGGAATATGTGAACCTACACTTCCTGAAACAATCATTGGAAGTAGAACCTTTTTTTTAGTCCCTGTGGAAGACCATGTTCCTCTACTTCCGGCAAAATCACTGCGGCCGGCTTCCCATGGCTTCCCTGAGTGTCTGTGGGTCAGAAAGAGGATTTCATCCATCAAGAACACATCACTCTTGTTACTACTAGTAAGGCACTTGTTACTACTAGCGTGGCACCTGTTACTACTAGCTTCTTGTTACTACTAGTAAGGCATTCCTTAATGGATAGATTTCATCACCGCTCCTTGATGGTTTGTGTGTCTTTCATCAATCACCTTTGGGGCGCGAAAGAGGACGTCAAATGAAGACACATGGGAACAACAAAACCAGAAAACACTGGTCTCGGCAAACGGATGATGGTGAACAAAACCAGCGGATGATGGTGAACAAAACTACACACTTGACAAGTTGCAAGCATGAACTGTTGGTGTTGGCGGAAAGGTTGTCAGTCTATGAACTGCGCAGCGCACGGCACCGTATGTCACGCAAGGCAGCAAGTCCTTTTTAAGGCTGACATGAACACTTCTTCACCCTCGGACTAAAACGATAAGCGAAGACGTCCGCGACTTCCGCCATGGTCGTTCTAAGCCGTCATTAAAGAGCCCTTCCCCAAGATGCTGAAGTCAATTACACGGCAAATGCCATGATATCAGCAATCTGATTGCATCAAAACGGTTTGTATTTTCGACTAAAGGGAGACCTCATTTGATCCGCTGGAAGGAACATAGACCACAAGCCATTGGTGGTGGGGCATCCCTTTTTAAAAGAAAGTTATTCAAACATATTAAAAGTCAGGAACCCGACGCTGAGGAGAAACACGATAAACCAGAAGCTGAGCTGCAAGGTAACTGCATCCCTTTCCAACCGCGCCTGCTGGTTCCATCAAGGAGGTGTGGAAGGCCTTGACTCACGCAGAGTGAGTATGCAGCCGGGCCGTGGTAGCTCGCAAAATAACACATGGTAACCTGGTGAACCGCCTCCACAAACCTCTCCTTTCACCAAGTGGAAGGTTGTGGAGGACATGCATTGCAAAGCCGGCCGCAATCCACCAGCTTTGGAGACTCTTTCCATCCGATGCATCAGGATCTGCACTGTCCGTTTCCCTTTTCCTTTCTTCTTCTTTACTTCATGTTCTTTCTCGCCTTTTCTTTGCTGCATTCATTTTCTAGGCATGGGTAAGGTAACTGCCTTCTTTCCTTGTCGTTTCTCTTCTTTCAAGTTTTTCGATGTTTTTCTTCCTTGCCTTTTCTTGCTCTTTGCCACCTTCATTATTTAGGCATGGATAAGCTACCTGCCTTCGTTCCATTTTATTGTATTGTCTTTCTAGTCTTTCTTCCCTTTCTGCCCTTTCCTTTCCTTTCCTTTCCTTACCCTTTTTCTTTCTCTTTGCAGCCTTCATTATTAGGCATGGATAAGGTACTTGCCTTGTTTAATTTTCTGTTCTCTCCGTTCTAGTCTTTTTTTTCGTTTTCTTTACATTCCGTGCCTTTCCTTTTAGTTCTCTTTGCAGTCTTCATTGTTTAGGCATGGTCAAGGTACCTGCCTTCTTTACTTTGCTTTGCTACTCTTTCTAATTGTTCTTGTTTTTTTCCTTCCTTGTCATATTTTTTTCGCCATCACTATTTAGATCTATTTAGGCATACATCAGGTACTTGTGTTCTTTTCTTGTCTTTGCTGTTCTTTCTATTTATTGTTGTTTTTTAATTCCTAATCTTTTGTGCAGAATTCATTAGTTAGGCATGGATTAGGTAACTGCTTTCTGTTCTTGTCTTTCCTGATTGTTTATGTTATTCTTCTTTCGTTGCCTTTCCTGTTTTGTCTTTGCACACGTCAATATTTAGGCATGGATAAGGTACAAAGCCTCTTTCAAAACAAATATGTCAAACCACGGCTTTAAGGGCCAAATTGAGTCTTCTGACCATTGCACGCGTTAAATTTATGTGTTGAGTTAACAAGCTGTTAACTAGTAGGTACCACGCTGGCTTTAAGCGCTGTGCAACTCAGGCGCAACGGCATCGTAGGTCAGAACCCAGCACGCCAAGAGTATTTTTTTCCATGTCAACATGTCCGTCGTCGTTTTACATTGCTGGAATGACATGTCGACCCTAGGCTACTGGCACGTCCAACAGCTGCATGAAGCACTGTGACAGGCACGTCGCGTATTATACACGCGAGTCAGAGCAGTTACTACCCAGCAGCACGACAAAAAAAAGGGCCTGTCTGATCACATGCCCTAGGCTTCCTGGCCCACCATTGATTTAATGGGCTTTACATGGCTTTACCAACAAACATTAATTCGCTAAGCATTTTACGCTACGCAACCAGGTCGTTCTCATTTTTGTTCATGGTCGAACGGAAGGCGTGTGGATGGTGTGGTACTGGTGTAGCAAAGTTTGGCCTTGGACTTTTTGAATGGTTGATGCATACCCGAGCCTTATCACAGGGAACCTTCAGGCCAACGTGTCCCTTTCCTGTATTAACCCGCTAGTCGCGCAAGTAGCCGTTGAACCCAGTGGCTGTCATCACATTGCAATATTTTACTCCGGGGTGAGAGACATTACGCATTGCATCCCATTGACAAAGTCTTCTTTCTTGTTCACGTTCTTCGTCAGGACAATCTGCATGCCTTTGTATATTTGTGTCATCCATAGCTATGGACAGGAACGAGCATCTCACCATCATGTCTCGTCTCATCCTATGGCCACCTGTCGTTGGCCAGAAAACCTTGAATTCACAAAATGGGAAAACTTCAGAACCGGTTCTTTCTAGCACGCTACTCCCAGTGACTGGTAATGCCTTGAATTGCACCCTGCCAATTGCACACACGTTGCTATTGAAGGTAGGGGATTGCCAGCACAAGTGTCTGAATAGAACCTGTCTTGATGATGTCATCAGACCTTGGCAAAGTTAAGTTATCAACATGCCAACAAGAATAACTTTCAACGAGATCGACACAAGCAACTCTTCCAACCCCAAAGCCCTTCCGTGCGCTTCGCTGCAGCCCCAGTGACACCCGAGGTCTTCAGGAAACGTGCTTGCAAGGCGCCCTCCTTCTCACAAAGGCCTCGCTCAAAGGCGCGCGCGCGCGCGGGCGCGTCAGCGTGCTCGATTCTGTGCACGTTTCTGCACGGCATGGGCGCGGCTGGGCAGCACGAATGCAGATGCATTCAGCCAACACCAGGCTAAGATGCAGGGGACAAGAAGCTACTAGTAGCGATGTCCAAGAAAGGCTAAGATGCAAGGGACAGCGGTCTTCCAGACAAATCAGCCCACCAACAGTACCATCAGTTCCCCGTATATGATGAAAACACAAGTGCTTCCGGAAGCAACATACTGAAAGACAGAGTCATTTGCATGCTCAACTGACTCACTGGTTCATGCGACCCAGCATGACTCCAACACCCCATGTCATGTAGACTCTTGACTAAAGAAAACCCACCCCTTTGAATGCGCGCACTTGCGGTTCTGCGCCCACACCAACCCTTGCTCACTGGTGAAGCGGGTTTGGGTGGGATGTTGGTCATTGGTGAAACAGTGAGAGGATTTCACTTTGTACACTACACGAAACTACGAATGTGCATGAACAGGGGCCTAAACGAAAGCGCTTCCTCCACCGTACTCAAGACCAAGAATTATCAAATGTTATACGTGTTCTCTAAAGACCTTCAAGATGAGTCTCGAACAACCCCTTCTACCCAAATGCACCTAATTGTTGTCTGGATGCTGCAACAAATTAAGATCTTTTTTTGTTCTCATGGCATTGCGAACGCGGATCTGAAATTTTTGTTGTTTGTCATGGTCTGCTTCCTGCCGTCCTGGCCATTTGGTTTCACTCATGTAGGTATTCATTGCTGGAATCGGAACATTGGTGTGGAACGGAGGATTGCATGGGATTGGAAAATCACGAAAGTACCGGTATGTGGCCGGTCCATTTGGCAATTCTGGGCGATACGCAGCCCCTCCTTCATGGTCTGTGGTAAACTCAAGGGAAATCAGGCTCTTAGATCCAATTTTCTTATATGCGGGGACATGTTTGGATGTGTTTTACAATCCAGCGAAAGCTCTCTGCTATATTGCGCATCGACCGGTGCGAAGCGGGTAACATCTGGACTTTTGGATCAGTCAATGGGTATGCCCGCCATCCTTTATCTGTGCGAATCTTAATGGGGAGCATATTTCCTCACCAAAGCGTGAAAGAGATGGCAAGCTCGACCCATGAGATACCGCTGTCTCCTCTCTCAGGATGAGCGTGAGCTGGAGGCCATTTAAGGAGTGCTAAATATTGCCAAACAAGGCGCGAGATGCCCAAAAAACCACTTGGTGTGGTTCCGAGGGAATGGGGTGGGTCTCTCGTGTGATAACCCATGCTTCATATGTTCTTATTCGTGCGAGGAGAGGTGAGTGGACTACGTCGGTACCGGTTGTATGGACTTCTGGACCACATGATCGGGCAAGGCCAATGGGAAGGTCCTTCTGTGGATGTGTGTCCTCTTCTTCCTTTTGGAGGCGTAAATATGCAACATCAAGCATATATTGCCACAGTTTGGGGATAACCTGCAGCTGGGACTGATAATGATTACGGACTGTTTGACACAGGTCATTGAACTCTTGCAAATCATGTCTTCTGGTTTGCACTGCGGCCTCATCTGCGAAGGCATTTCCCCAAATATTGATGCAATCATCATCTGAGTGAGCCTCTGATGGCTGGCGATGAGACTTAATTTTAATGGTATAAAACCAGGTTGCATCCCACCAAAATTTAAGCCGCTGGATGAGATCCCAGTGCATTTGCTTATGTGGGTGAGAGTCGATAAGGCCATCTGCAATGGACTGTGTAATATTTATTACGTATTGAGAATGTGCAAAGCCCAACTCATTTCTGTGCTTCGAGTGGTGCTATGGCTTCGACCGCTACAACAAATGCATAGAGCTCAGCGCTATTAATAGTTTGGAGCCCTTGACATGCAGCCTAGGTCGTGGACACTGTTTTTGATCTGGAATTGGAAATTAGGTCGCATCAACAATGCAGATGCTTGTTTCCAAAAATCTTTAAATTGTTTGGAGGTGGCCCACGCCCTTGATTTACCATAGTCCTTTTGCATTCGTAATGCACTAACAAGGTTGAGAATGTTTGTCATAGCTCAAATGCTGCTCTTTCTGATGTGGTCATGAACGACCAGTTATCGGCATATGTATATGGCTTTAGCTGGGGTGTTGTCAGGGTCTGATGAAAGACAAAGCTAAGTGCCAACATGCCAACAACCGATAGAGAGTCGCCCTCTGGCAGGCCTGGGGTAGATGGGAGAGGCGGGCCCAAATCTTTACTTATCTGAAGGGATCTGGTAAGTTTCCTTAGGGACCTGAACCAGCATGTGGTCGCTTCCACTGGTATGCCGAGCAACGGAATAGGAACCACACCACTCTTCGTGGGATGAAATTAATGCTTTTACCAAATCCATTGTCCAGCCACCTCAGGCTGTTCTATGTGTATTGGCACTTTCAATTGTCATAAGCTGTTGTAGACTTAAGTCTCTTGCTGAACGGCGTGGCAAACCGCCACTTAGTTCTGGCGGCCAAGTTTGTGCCCAGTGATGCAGGACTTGATCTGCGACAAGCTTAGAGCTAAGTCGAGCTAAGTACCCTAAAATCGTGATGGGACGACCATGTGACATATTTTCGGGCTTGTCACACTTTGCAAATAAGAATGTTCGAGCCTGCATCTGCTGAGTAGTTAGCCCTTGTGTCCACATCTGTGATAACAGTTGGGAAAGGTATACCACCATATGCCAGGCCAATTGGCGTAGTTCTTCAGAATACCATCCGTCAACTCCTATGGCTTTGTGTGTCTTCATCCTTTGAATGGTATGCCAAAGGGTCTTAGGGCAATTTACTTGTGTTTGTCGGGGTACGACTTTACGCACGTCAGCGAACAATGTATGCCATGTTGCATCAGTGGTCTCCTCTTCGACTGTATCTTGGAGCCAAAATTGTGACCAAAATTGGTTAAATAGAGTGGACATCCGATCAATGTGGAGGTATAGCGTAAGGTGGCTTGTGTAGGCAGTGTGCCTTGAACATTAGTTAGTTGTAGCTTACTTCGGTCTTGTGACGCGACAGTGGCTGTGGCATCTCCAGGCTGGACTGTGGCTCCACTTGGGATATTAAATGACTGATGCATTCGAATTGCAGGTAGGGCTTTATTGCTCGTACAGAGGGTAAAGGCAGTTGAGCGTGTATCTGGCAGGTCTTGCAAGAATTTCTGTTCTTTTCCTTTGGTCACCCTATAGGCAGCGACATTATTGGTATGTGCACGGGCAAAGCCAATGACATGTCGACGGTGATTTTTCCTCAATAGCTGCTCCTGTTTTGCGAAGGCATCTGCATCAAATCGTGTGATCTGAAGGGCTAGACTTAGCCATTCTAGATCCGGCAAATCTATTGGAATGTGATGGATAAAGTCGAAACTAAGTAGCCAAGCAGTCCACGAATTCCCATAGCCCTGCGCCCGGAGAATGACTGGGTTTGTGGTTGTCGTTGGTATGCCTTGAGTTGATTGATCAGGGAGGCAATGCGCCTAACTTGGCGACCTCGACCTCTTCAGGAGCGAGGGTCCGGTCCGGGTCTCGAGGAGCGAGGGTCCGGTCTGACCCCGACAGTAGGTCTCGAGGAGCCGCCGTATCACTGCCGGAGTCGGGCAAAGCGGCCTCAAGCGTCGGCATCGCCTTCTGCAGCTGCAAGGCTCCAGCCCCGAGAGCGGACCACACCTGGTCATCTTCCGCGGCCTCCCAGTGGTCAGCCGCTTGCAGCACCTGCTTCACTCGAATTTTCCGCTGTGCGGACGGATTGCTGAAGGCGGGCGAGTTTTCCAAGACGCGGGCGAGCTTGCCAATCATAACTGCCAAGTTCTTTTCCTGGTCCTGCTTCTCCAAGATGTGCGCTTCGACCTTAGCCTCCAACAGCTCCTGCTTCTCCAACATCGAAGCCTACCGGAGGGCCAAAAATCTTGAGCCAAAATGGCTACGGAAATGGGAAACCTGAGAAGCTGCAAAACGAAAGCCAGCGTTATTTTGTCACGAGCGGCACGGCTGCGGTGAAACAAGGGTGCAAAGCAGCCAAGAGTTAGTAGTGAAAACTTCAGAAGTTGCATGAAAGCTGAGACGTCTCCTAATGAGCCTATGGGTCTTCACTATGTGTATTGTTTCCATCTATA